TTACTGGCTACCAAAGCCCCAGAGGCAGGTGCACCGCTGGCAGGATGGCATGACCCTCCCAGGCAGGAGCTGCTGGTGACCACAAGCTGGCAAGGCCCCCGGAGGAGGCACGTGGCTGTGCGACCTGCCCCAGCAGAAGTCAGTTGTCCTTGCAAGCCACCAAAGCCCCAGAGGCACGTGTGCAGCTGATGGGATGGCACAACCTTCTCTGGCAGGAGTTGGTGATCGCACGCTAGGAGGTTCCGGGAGGCAGGCGCACGTCTGCGCAACCTGCCCCAGCAGAATTCAACTGCCCTCACAGTTCACCAAGCCCCAGAGGCGTGTGCGCGTGCCGCTGGCTGGATGGCGCAAGCCTTCCCAGTGGGAGCTGCTGGTGACTGCCAGCTGACAAGACCCTGGGAGGTGGGCACAAGACTGCGCAAACTGCCCAGCAGAAGTCAGTTGCCCTCCCTGGTCACCAAAGCCCTGGAGGCTGTCTCGTGATTGGCAGGACAGTGCGACCCTCTTAGGCAGGGGCTGGTGGTGATCCAGGGCCAGGGGGCCCCAGGAGGCAAGCTCGGGGTTGCCTGACCTGCCCTAGCAGAAGTCAATTGCCCTGGCCAGCCACCAAAGCCCTGGAGGCAGGCAAGCAGCTGGCAGAACTGCATGACCTTCCCTGGCAGGAGTCAATGGCAGCTGCGGGCCAGCAGGGCTCAGGGAGGTGGGCGTGGCTCAGTGACCCAACCCAACAGAAGTCAATCACCATCAAGAGCCACCAAAGATCTGGAGGCGGATGCCTGGCGGGGTGTGTAGCCCTCCCTGTCAGGCATCAATCCCAGTCACCAGCACCAAGATCTCGGGAAGTGCAGATAGCAGCTGGGGAGACAGCTGAGCACAGAATGCGCTGACTGAGGGGGGTCCGTCTGCACGCAGAAACTGTGGATCAAGCAGTGAAGGACCGGGACAGGGGTTTGGTCTTGAAAGGGTGGATGGATGCTGTTCTTGGTTCTTCTCTACCCTGTCTCTGCCGGCAACGGGAGGGAAAGTGGACTGTAAACTCAAAATGGCAGAGCAAACGCCATTTCCACTTTTCTGCCTGGGGGAGGGTGTTCCGAGTCTCAACTGGGTTCCTCCAGGGTAGTAAACTTCCCTGTTGGCAGCTTTCACTTGTGGAGTGAGAGAATAGGTCCTCAGTTCATCCATGGCCTGTAGGGGACTTGGAGGAGCAATTGAAGGTGAAACAGAGGAAAAGCACACCTTTCTTGGGGGAGGGGCTGGGCGCTATTCCTTTGAAGAGATTTATGTACCTGTGGAGCATCCTCTAGAAGTCTCTGCCTGTCTCAGAAGAGGTGTCCTGTCGGTATCACTCTTCTCTCTCAGCTGGACTCCCAGTTTTAGACTTTGTTGGGTGTCTCTCTGGACTTTATTCTTTCCTCTGAACAGGAGCTTCTGTCAGAGACTGGTGCCCGTTGGCCATCTTGACCCCTCCCCCAACAACACAGCTATTAACCCCTCTCTGGTTTCCAGGCTTAGAGCAGTTTGCTAACTTCTTTGTTCCTAATGGTCACCTGTCCACTTCAGCACTGTGCCCCCAGAGATCTGGGAGTCCACAGTTCCCCACAATTCCTCAGTGACAGGTCTCTGCAATCATCCACATGGGGAGCAGAGGTCCCTAGGCCTGTCCCAAGTGTAGCACCGCTCTCCACTGGCAGAATCCAATCTGCTGCACCCTAAGTTCCCAACAAGGGGCCTGCCCACTGGCACTATGGTGTGCCCTTCTGCACAATGGAGTGTCTTTGATCTGAGAACTTGCCCTACCCTCCACACAGATGTTTTTCCCATTGCCAATCTGCACAAGGCTGCACTAGACAGCACCCCAAATATCACTTGCAAGTGTCTACTTCTTAAATCTTTTCAGAGCCCCCAAGCCTGTTATGGGTAAAGGGCTACTTCCTTCCGGAACCCAAGATGTCCACTTATCCACCCTACTGGGGCCTTTTGTCACTGTGGGTTTTCCTTTGTCCAGGAACTTTTCCTCTTCCTTTACTTGTTGCCACCTGTGTTAGAGCCACTGGAACCAGCAATCCAATATGGCCACCAAATTCTGCTTGGGAAAGCATCATCTAGTCTCCCAAAAAGAGTGGCTGCACTACCATAGCCCCACAAGACTGTCCACCTACCGCCACGGCAGTCTGGACAAGTGCACTGAAACTTGCCCAAATGTGGTAGTTCTCGGCAGCCCCAGTCAAACTCAGCTGTCCACTTCCACACTGCACACTCCAAGTACCACTGCACACCAATATTCCACACTGGGACTGATTCAGCCCTCTTCCTCTGCCCTTTTGCTCTAGGAAGGCTCAGCTAAGCATCCATCCTGTCTGCCATCATGCTACCTCCTAATACTTTTTTCTTATGCTCTGTTTTGTGTGCTCTACCTAAGGTCTAGTAAGCATCTCTTTTTGGAGACCACTGAGCTAATGTCCTTAGCATAAAACTACAATGAACACTTTTAAGGTTTATTCTGGGGGGTTGTGTTGGGTGGTTCCCTCAAGGTCAGGAACTCTTTACCAGCCTCAGCAGACACAAATTAACCTGGATAGAATTGAAACACATTCTTCTTAGTAAAGTATCACAAAAATGGACAAGCAATAATGCAATGCACTCAATTCTAATATGAAACCAGTGGACAATCAAATACATACACATATAAGTGAAAAACTCAAATTAATTAAACACCTTAAGGGTGGGACACAACTGTAAGAAAGACTTTACCTAACACATGAAAACAGTGTAACCTCTTTGTATCCTCAATGACCTGAAACAACAAAAAACAAATAAATAATAAATAAAGTTTATTCTGCTTGGTTAGAGTGGCTCTAGTGGGCTGAGTGTGGTGGCTTACTCCTGTAATCCTAGAACTCTTGGGAGATTAAGGTGGAAGGATTTCTTGAGCTCAGGAGTTCAAGATAAGCCTAAGCAAGAGCAAAATCCTGCCTCAAGTAAAACTAGAAAAAATGAACAGGACATTGTGGCAGTCACCTACAGTACCAGCTACGTGGGAGGCTAAGGCAGGAGGATAACTTGAGCCACTTTGGAGGCTGAGATAGGAGGATCACTTGAGCCCAGGAGTTTAAGGTTGCTGCATGCTAGGATGATGCTGTGGCACTCTATCTTGGGCAACAGAGTGAAACTCTGTCTCCAATAAAAAATAAAGAAAGAAATAGGGTGGCTCTGGCAGACTAATAGATATTAAGGGGATAGATTCAAAGCACCTTCCTGCCATCCCTTGTTGTAACCACTGCCTTAATCTCAGGAAACTCTCACACAGGGAATTTTATTTCCTTTTTGGTTTCTTTCTTTTTGTTTGTTTGTTTGGCTCTCCCTTCCTCTATAAGAATTGATATCATATCTCAAAAACATTATAAGATCATTATGAATACTTACTATTACCACAATTAGCAACTAGTCAGTAATGATATTTTTATTCAAAAAACAACTGCAGAGTGTTAGCAACTTGATGCTTAGTATACTGAGGTGAAATCTGGCTCCTAGTCATTTCCACCCACTTATCTCACATTTTGAACTCATGCTAAACATTTGACATGTGTTTGAATACTCTAACTCTCCTCATTTAATGTGAGTTTGTATATACCCACCATCCTGGTCTCTCTCTTTTGATTATATACCAGTTCCTCAATGCCTTTCCTAAGGCATGACACCTCAAACCAATTGTAATACAACAGATGTAGTGAAGTTATATATCTTGAACCACTTCATAGACCACGTAATTTTCTTTGATCATTCCTGATTACAAACTAAAGTAGAAATACCTCCAGGAAGGGAACTAGGTGGGTTTCGGAAGATACTAGTGATGGGATTCTTAATTTATACCTTTCTGAATCTTAACCTTACTTTTAAAATTAAATAAAAGGGGATATAACAGTATATGAATTCTCTCCTAATCAAATTTTCAAGCTCATTTGCTTGCCAAATTATTTATTGCAGAACGATTACTATTTAGCAATATGTTAGGTACTCTGGAGAAACACACATCAACAAAATAAGATAGAGTATTATTTTGGAGGAGTTTAAAATTCAGTTGGGTATAATGTCCATAGATTTGTAATATAGGCAAATAAAAAACTAAAACAGAGGATGATAGATGCCAAATGAGATAGAACATAAAGAAGATGCAATATGTCAAAGACCATTTTTTTGTAAGGAGGAGAAAAGTAAAACTTTTGGGAGAAGCAGACGGTAAGATTGGTTAAATATAGTAAGGATAGAAAGATTCTCAACTTTTCCACTAAAGAATTACTAATGGAATAGAAGAATATACACATTCACTTGGAAAGACCTAGGGTGAAGGTTTTATTAACCTTAAACTATTTTTGAAGTTTATTTTTTATGTTAAAAAATTGTTCAAGTTTTGCATTGTACTCTCTAACAATCATATGTTAAATATAAAATGCTTTAAATTATTTGCTATTAAATAATATAAAGGTGTCAAGAAAATAGATAATATGTCACTGAAGGATATACATACCTATTTGAGAAGCCTGATCTAAGAACAGAGAGTCATTGTAATTTCTTAAGCATTAAAGGGACATGATAAAACAATGTTTATGAAAGATTTATCTCAAAGCAGTATTCCAGAATAATGAAAGAGGTGAAAAGAAACTGGCAGCACCTGTGACTCAGTGGGTAGGGCGCCAGCAGCATATACCACAGGTGGCGGGGACAAACTGCAACAAAAAAATAGCCAGACATTATGGCAGGCACTTGTAGTCCCAGCTACTCGGGAGGCTGAGGCAAGAGAATTGCCTAAGCCCAGGAGTAGGAGGTTGCTGTGAACTGTGATGCCATGGCACTCTACTGAGGGTGATAAAGTGAGACTCTGTCTCTAAAAAAAAGAAAAAAAGAAAAAGAAAAAAAATGAGAAAAGAAACAAGAGATAGGATGACCAAAAAAGGGTAGTGGAGGAAGATGAGGACAAAGAATAGGCCAATACTGATGCTTACCTGATCCAGTATTTTTACCATCTCCTCCAATGAGTGGGACTGTAATTGCTGCAGGGCCCCCAGCTACAGACAATGCAGTATACACCATAGGCAGAGACTGCACCACCACAGGAATGGTATTCAGGCCACCCATCTTATTTGGCAGACTAACTGAGGGAATGGTTTGAATCACATGTAAGATCTGCTGGCTGCCAGTGCCCTGAGAGGAGGCAATGATAGAGCCTGGAGTTAGAATGGTAGGAATGTTTGCTGAAGCACTCAGGTCAGATGTTGAAGTGGATACCACAGGAGTCTGGGGAGCAGACTGTGGCTTGCCAGGATGTACTGGAGCTTGTAGCATGCTAGCAGGCTGGAGAGGAGCCTTGGGTTTGTGAAAGGAGAGGTCAACTGGTTCCACCTGGGGCAGGCTAGCATCATTAGACAGAAGTTCTTCTGGGGGCTCAATCTTGATGTCATTAAACAGTGTTGGGTTTGCCATGGGATTGGCTTCCAAGAGTGGTGGAGACGTCATATTATTTCTGTTTGCTGTCTCACTGAGATCTCTGGTGAGAACAGGGCCAGTGACCTAAAATGAATAAATAAACAAATGACATATGCAAAATAATGTTAGTACGTTGAAGAGACATGTGACCAATGAAAAACAGAAATAACTATTCTGTTCTTGCAGAATGAATTCATGATGTTTGGGAAAATGAGGCAAAAGTACAATAAGGAGGAAAAGCAAGAATAGCTTTACTGAGCATTAGCAAGTACCTGGTACTGTATCAGGCAATTGATAAAAGTCATTGCATTTAATCTCCACAATCATTATGTAATATTAATTAAACTCAGTAGTTTATTAGTACCTATGATGAACTGAGTGGCAGCACACATGAATAAGGTATAGCCAAGAAGTGCATACCTACATACTAACTATAATGACAGAATAATCTGAGTAACTGACAAGTTATACTGTAATAGGAGATGTGTCAGACATAAAAGAAAGGTGTTTTAGAAGGGAAAGGGCATGATTCTTTCTGTCTAGACAGGGAAGGTTTTAAGGAGGAAATGATATTTAGATGAGTCTTAGAGAATTAATATGACTCCTCTAGGCAAATAAGAGGTAAGAAAGATATTCCTATCTGCAGAGACATAACAGATAATATACTTAGCTAATAATGATAATAGTTGTGTTATACACATACAAAATTGTGTAACTTTTAAATTATGTCATATTTTATAATAATAACTAATTGAGTTATAAATAATACGCTAAATAATGTAAAGACCCAACCTAATTAAAAACACTCTAAGAATTCAATGATTTCAAAGATCAAGAATATCGTGAACTGTATATGCCATTTTTTGATTTATTTTTTTATTAAAGCATAAGTGTATACAACAATGGGGTACAATGTGATGATTTGATACACCATGTGAAATGCTTAAATCAAGCTGGTTAACATAACCATCACTTCACTTATTTATATTTTTGTGGAAAGACGTTTATAATTTGCTCTTAATTGGCTTGGCGCCTGTAGCTCAGTGGTTAGGGCAACAGCCACATTCACCAGGGCTAGTGGGTTCAAACCTGGCCTGGGCCATATAGACAGCATTGACAACAACAACAAAAACATAGTCCAGCATTGTGTTGAGTGCCTGTAGCCCCAGCTACTTGGGAGGCTGAGGCAAGAATAACTTAAGCCCAAGAGTTTGAGGTTGTTGAGAGCTGTGACACTATGGCACTCTACCAAGGGTGATATAGGGAGACTCTGTCTCAAAAAAAAAAAAAACCCACAATAATTAAATCTTAGTTATTTTGAAGTTTATCCTTGCATTGTGCACATTCTTCTTCATAAAATATTTTCACAAACCAATACCTTCAAGGGTTTTCCCTGCACTCTCTTCTAGAATTTTTATTCTCTCAAGTCTTAAATTGAAATCTTTTATCCAGTGAGAATCAGTTTTTGTAAGTGGCAAGAAGTGTGCATCCAGTTTCAGTCTTCTACAAGTCACTAGCCAGTTCTCCCACCACTGTCTGTTAAATAGGAATTCTTTTCCCCAATGAGTAATTTTTTTTTTATTTTATTAAGTCATATATACATAGATCATGAATACAATTATGACTTTGTGTGATTCAATGTGTTGATTATTTCTACAAATTGGAGTGCTTACATCCAACTAATAAACATAGCTTTCATTTCATTTACTTAATCAGTGTTAAGACATTTGTGTTCTATACTTGATAGATTTGACTTGTACCCTTCCAATATGCTCCATAGGTGTGGTCCCACCATTAACCCTCCCTCTATCAAACCACCCCCTAGCCTTCCCATTCCCCCTCCCCTTCCCCCCTTCATCCTGGCCTACAGTTGTGATTCATCTTTTATATAAAAGTGTGAGTGATTATCAATTGGTTTCATAGTAGTACTGAGGACAGCGCATATCCCACAATTTTTATTGCATTATTGTATGGAACATGGTTTGTTTCCAAATGATGAAATATTTCCAACAATTTGTTCTCTATTGTGATTTTTGCTGATGCCCAAGATTTAACCTTTTCCTTATCAATATATATTTTTTTAATAATGATACCTTGTAAGTCGTAAGTCACTTTCAAGGCCAGTGCTAGACTTTTTGCCACCACTATAAAATATAAATAATATGAGTACTGTCTGCTAAATTCATGAAATAAATAAATAAATTACTTACCTAAATTATCTGAATAGCTAATTTGTTCACATCACTTGTTTAACTAGCACTAGCACACAGTACGATGTGTATCGTCCGAGAGACAGTTACAAAGTGTTTTCATCGTTGCCAATGCCAAAAAATGCCATTGTTCATTAAGTCCAAACAATGGTGGTTGAATTCTAATAACTCATCAACAATGTGAACTTTGATAAGCAGTTCTCGATAATCAGTTCTCAACAATTATTCGTTATTATTAAAGTTTAACATTATAAAATTAACAAAAATAATATAAAACTCATGTCCTGGTGAAATAGCCACATGGCAGCCGAAAACTGTATATTCTCTTCCCGTTCTCCTGCCATTTCCTAGCTTGTCATGCAGTCTTTCCAAAAATCAGGACTTTATAAAAACACTGTGGGACGCGGGACAAATTGTTAAAAATCAGGACTGTCCTGCCAAAAGCAGGATGTCTGGTCACCTTAACATAGACCATAATTCATTAATCCATTAATGAGACTATGGGCACTTGGGCATCTTCCATGACTTGGCAATTATGAATTGAGCTACAGTGAACCATCTGGTGCAAACATCTTTGTTGCAAAGTGATTTTTGGTCTTTTGGATATATACCTAGTAGAGGAATTACAGGATCAAATGGCAGGTCTATATTTAGATCCCTGAGTGTTCTCCAAACTTCTTTCCAAAAGGAAGGTATTGGCTTGCATTCCCACCAGCAGTGCAGAAGTGTTCCTTTTTTTCCACATACATGCCAACATCTGTAGTTTTGGGATTTTGTGATGTGGGCTACTCTTACTGGAGTGAGATGATATTTCAAAGTGGTTTTGGTTTGCATTTCTCTAATGATTAAAGATAATGAGCATTTTTCATGTGTCTGTAGACCATGCACCTGTCTTCTTCAGAGAAGCTTCT